GTCCTGTCAGACCCCTCCACCCCAAGATCTGAAATCTGGGGAAAGAAAAAGATTAGTCAGGTGGGTGGGAATTCAGAAGAGGGGAAATTAATGTTTCCTTTGCTAGGGGAGAGGCAGATACACTGCAAACAATGATGCATTGTTCTTGCTTAATAATAATAATCATTCTCATTTGCATAGAACTTCTGAGGTTTTAAAGTGCCTTTCCAGCTATCATCTCATTTCTTATCATAGGATCTTATCATAGTATCACATGTCCTACATCTGTTAACTCATTTCTTATCATAGAATATAGTAGATGGAGATCTTAGAGACCACCTAACCTCATGCATTTTATAGATCTAGACTCTGAGAGGTAAAATAATTCGCTTATGATCACCTGCTTGCTTAGAGCTAGAACCAGACCACGAGGACAGTCCAGTTTAGATCCAAGGCTGGTGGGTATCAGGACCTCTCAGCTATCTTTGCAGTGTACTTGCCCACCTGGGAAGATGGAGGCAGGACCACCGTGGCCAGGATCCATTGTTTCGACAGGGTATCAAGCCAAGCGGATTCAAGAGTGGCAGCAGGAAGGCATTCAGGTCCTTGTGTCCACAAGTAATGCGAGCACACTCGAGGGAGCCCAGCAGTTGATAGCAGAAGCCACCCAGCTTGGGCCTGTTGGGGGCATTTTCAACCTGGCTATGGTGAGTGGAGGCTCTGGCCCAGGCAAGGGCTGCAGAGTGGGTGGAGGTGAGATGATATAGCACAGGTGCCTTGGAAGGTTGCTCTCTGCAGATAACGTGATCCAGGACTGTCGCTGAAACCAGACCCCTGGCAGAGGAGTCGTCTCCTGTTTAACCTGAATAATTTCAAGAGTGTCCCACATCTATTTCCTGATTCCTGCTTGGGAATTTGTCTTCTCTGAGGGGAACATGCCTTCAAGGGATTAAGAATGAAAGAATTGGGACCCCTGGACCAAGGCAGGGTGGAGGGGTCAAGATAGAGAAGAATCATACCTTTGTTTCTGCAAGGGAGAGAGCAAAGATACCCTGGGGAAGCCCTGGTCCAGTTTCCCCCTGACGAGACCACTGAGGACCTCTTCTCCTCCTACTCAGGTCCTGAGAGATGCCATGTTGGAAAACCAAACCCCAGAATTATTCCAGGATGTCAACAGGCCCAAGTACAACGGCACAATTAACTTGGACAGGTAAAAGGACCGGTGGACAAGGGGATCCGAAATGCTGCGACTTAAATCCTCTTTTTTGCCCACCTCTGACATCACAGCCTCATTTCAATTCAACAGTCAATCAAGCATTTATTAAGTTCCTCTTCTGTGATAGGCACTGTGCAATTGAGCTGATGGGGTCACCACATAACAGCATAGAAATAAAAGACAAAAAGGCCAGGACAGAACGCTGGAGGGACCTCCCTAGTTAGAGAATGTGATGTGCAATTAAGAAATCGCTGTTAACTCTTGAGAGAGTGGTTTCATTTGAGAGATAAGGTCAGAAGCCAAATTACAGAGTATTTAGAAGAGAGTAAGAGGAGACTTAAAAACAGAGGAGACTTAAAAACAATCAGTTTCATAGCCCAACGCCTTGCAAAAACTGTATAAAGGGAGAAGAACAGGAATGGTTGGATGTAGTGAGGCTTTTTTAAAGATAGAGGAGGCCTGAAGTATATGTAGGCAACAGGAAAAGAAGCAGTAACTGGGGAGAAATTTAAAATTATAGAGTGGAAGAGTGATAGTGGGACCAGTCAGCTGAAGAAGAAAGGAGGAATGAGTTTGAGGATGCTTGTAGAAGAGCTGGCCTTGACTAGGAAAAAAGCCATCTCTTCATCAGAGACTGGAGTAAAGGAAGGAAGAGATAGTAGGGGGTAGTATCAAGGAGTTATGCTGAGGAGGAGGGGAGAAGATGAAACTCATGGCAAATGGCCTGGATTTTGTTGGTATAGTGTGAGGTATGTGGGAGTCTTGAGGAGAGAAGAGAAGGTTTAAATTAAGTAACCTTTGTGGTGAGTAGGATAGAGAATCAATTAGAGAGGCGTAAAAGGATGGCCTTGCTGCAGTGAGGGCCAAATTGAGATTAGGTAATATAAGTAACATAAATCTGTAGCAGATCCAGTCAGTTTGGCAAGACCTCTAGTCCTATTCAGCAGCACATAAGGAAGAACAGAGAGGTTCATTTGACAGTAGGACAGAGGAGCAAGCCAAAAAAAAGTGTATAGCCAAAGGACTGAGGAGAGAGTGATGCTTATCAGCCAAGGGTTGTGGCATAGAATTAGGTATAGAGGGGAAGGGAGTGAAGAAGGCTTTGTAAAAGAATCCAGCAAGCCACCTTCGTCATTGGTCCTTCTGGCTTAGTGGTTTAATAAGTAAACGTTTTACTGAATGCCTACTCTATGCCGAGGCTAATCCTCTATGGAGATTTTCATGATGAAGTGGGATATAAGGTATGGGTTTCCATGGGAACCTAATGACCTATATGCTCCTGTTCTATCTATAGCACATCTTCTAAATCTATAGTAGCTAGGCAGCTCTTTGATTATCCACACCAATAGAAAGGGGCTGTGCCATCCAAAAAAAAATCTTCCTGGTTGGTTTTGGAGCGTGTTACAGGGTGATCTTATTTGGTTTTCAAATCTGCCTTCCTAATTATGTTTGCTTAGTCTTATTAAAATGAGCACATGTTCTTTGAAAACATTACTTTTGATGGTGGAGAGCGGGTCCAGAGTGCTGATACCCAGTTGCAGATAGGAGTTGGGAAGCTAGAAATAAAATGCCTTCCCCAAACCATCCAGGGGTTAGGGTTCTGTGGAGGGGAATAGCAAGTGATGAGTCATGTTCTTGGGTTGCTCCTTTAGAGTGTCAAGGGAAAAATGCCCGGAACTGGATTACTTTGTGGCCTTCTCATCGGTGAGCTGCGGGCGAGGCAATGCTGGGCAGAGTAACTATGGCTTTGCCAACTCCACCATGGAGCGTATCTGTGAGAAGAGAAAGCATGATGGCCTTCCAGGTAACCCAGAGCAGAAAGAGGACATATACATAGGCCCCCTCCAACCTGCTACCACTAAGCACATCCATGGGATGGATGCCTGGGAGCTTGGACCACTTTTTCCCTTAAATAGGCACATGTCTTCTCAGGGAGCCCATTCCTACCCAATGAGAGAACCCCCTGTCGTAACTTCTGTGCTCACATGAACATGGAAATGTTCATTCCATTTCATTTCCATTCATTTCCTCACTGGAAATGTCCCCCTTTCTTCACCAGGTCTTGCTGTACAGTGGGGAGCCATTGGTGATGTGGGCATTGTCCTGGAAGCCACGGGCACTAATGACACTGTGATTGGTGGGACCCTGCCCCAGCGCATCTCCTCCTGCTTGGAAGTCTTGGACCTCTTCCTTAACCAGAACCACCCTGTCATGAGCAGCTTTGTGTTGGCTGAGAAGAAGGTGGTGTCCCATGGTGATGGAGATGGCCAGAAGGACCTAGTGAAAGCAGTGGTACACATCCTAGGTGAGCCATGATGAGCCTTGTCTAATGGCCCCCATCCTAAGGACCTACCTAGTCAGGGCCATCCAGGCAGATCTTCCACCTGGGCATTGTCTCAGAAGGTGGGGTGGCTCTAAGGGCATCCTTTCAGCTTTGAATGTTCCTATGAACATCCGTAACTTCCTGAATCCAATTTGTATTTTTAGCCTATAGAACCTCTTAAGATAGCAAAGTCAGTATGTTTAACCCATACGAGGTGCGCCCCACGCCAGTCCGGGGCAGCATCTTGCCTTCCACCTAATCTTCAGGAGCAGAGGGACTGTAGAACCCAGGTAGGCTTTTGCCTGGTCTCCCCAGCTCCAGGAGTGTCTGCCTCACCATTAATATGAAAGCGTCTCTCTCCAGGCATCCGAGATGTAAGCACATTGAACCCAGATAATACCCTGGCTGACCTGGGCCTGGACTCCCTGATGGGGGTAGAGGTGAGGCAGACCCTGGAGCGGGAGTACGACATAGTCATGTCCATGAGGGAGATCCGGCAGCTCACCATCAAGAAGCTAAAAGAGCTCTCATCCCAGGCTGGAACAGAAGAAGGTGAGTCCATATGGAAGAGGGAGGCATGAGCTTGGGGGTTCCCAGGACCATCAAAGGGCCAGTACCCAGTAAGGAATTTGTAGATTTTTGAAGGAGAACTTCTTCCCTTCAGTTTCTAGAAGAGCAATCCCAAGATGATAGTCATTTTCCCCTGTTCTCTGAGTAGCTCATTTGGTTTCCAAATGGTGTAAATGAAGCCAAGGATGTGGCCTCGATTCATATGTGACTCAGTTAACACCTGTTCCAATGCTGTAGATTCACTCCCACTAACTCTGATTGGGGTTATGTGGAGGTAGCCACAAGGGGGGCCAGGTGGGAGAGTTTCCATCTACCAACACAAATTCACCTCCATTAAGGGAAACACAACTATCTTTATAGAACACTCAGCTCAGGTGCCATCTTCTACATGAAGCCTTTCCTGATTCTCCCGACCCCCAGCTGATAGTGCTTGCTTTCCATTTTTACTTTTGTATGTTTACTTTGCATACTTCACAGTCCCAATAGAATGTAAGCTCCCTGAGAGCAAAATCTCATTTGATTTTTGAAATTCCTCATTTCCTAGCACAGTAACTTGCACACTTTGTTGTTGTTATTGTTGTTAAGTTGTTTTTCAGTTGGGTCTGATTCTCTGTGACGCCACTTGGGGTTTTCTTGGCAAAGATCCTGGAGCAGTTTGCCATTTCCTTCTCCAGTTCATTTTACAGATGAGAAAATTGAAGCAAGCAGGGTTAAGTGACTTGCCCAGGGTCACACAGCTACTAAGTACCTGAGGCACTTTGATTTGAGCTCAGGAAGATGAGTCTTCCTGACTTCAGGCCCAGCACTATTTCCACTGTGCCACCTAGCTGCCCTGCCTGGCACATAGGCATTTAATAAATACTTGTTGATTGATTGAAAGATAGATAGATGGATGCTTAGGGATTGTCCAGAATTAGTCAGGAAAGTGAGCCCCTCCCCCAGGGAGATGGGCATGGGAGTTGGAAGTCAAGACCTCCACATCTCCTCTACATCCATTGGGCTAGAATTGCAGGGTCCTACTTTAACTCTGCTGAGGAGACATGTTGAGTGAGATGTTCTGTGCTCTAAAGATCATAGAATTTAGAACTAAAAGAGATCTTAAGAGATCATCATTTTACAAATGGGGAAACCGAGGTTAAATGGCCCACCAAAGATCACACGGGTGGTAAAGAGAGGTATCTGTACTTTCTCCTCTTCAAGAATCGGAATCTCCCCCAGCCAAAGACAGCAGCCCTTTCCGAGAAGCCAAACTGAATCTGGGGAACCTGCTGGTAAACCCCGAAGGGCCAACAATCACTCTGCTCAATGCCGTGCAGAGCACAGAGCGACCCCTCTTCCTAGTCCACCCCATCGAGGGCTCAATCACCGTGTTCCACAGCCTCGCTGCCAAACTCAGCATCCCTACCTACGGCCTGCAGTGCACCAAAGGTAACCCACCACCCACACTACTCTAGCTGGTAGATGGCATCCATAAGGCAGCTCGCTTCCAGAGACAGCTCCTCTCCAATGGTGGACGATTGAATGGGGTCCACATTCCATAACTGTTTCCTGCTGGTCAGGCTATTGCAGGGTCTTTGCGTAACTCTACTTATAAACCCTACTACTCTCTTGGACCCCATAACCTCAGAAATGTTGGGAAGGCCTTCCTGAGCTCTGACCTAAATCTCTTACAACATACCAACTTCTCATTACGTTTTCTCTGCCTCCCTTTTCTAGCTGCTCCCCTGGACAGCATCCAGAGTCTGGCTTCCTACTATATTGACTGTATCAAGCAGGTCCAGCCCGAGGGGCCATACCGCATCGCCGGCTACTCCTATGGAGCTTGCGTGGCCTTTGAAATGTGCTCTCAGCTGCAAGCCCAGCAAAACCCATCCCACTCAAACAACAGCCTTTTCCTGTTTGACGGGTCTCATGCCTATGTTTTAGCCTACACACAAGTAAGGACAATGGGGTATAAGGGGCATTTCCAGAGACCGGCCTTCCAACCAGCCTAGATGCAGACAAGTAGAGGCCCTGACCCATAACCAAGGAAAAGCCCCAAACAATCCAATGACTAAATGTTAGGGTAACAACAGGAAACTCTGTGCCCCTCAGGACTTCAGAACAGCTATGTTTTCAGCAGTTTGGTGGCTACTTCCACCAACCTTGTTTGCAACTCTTCCACACCTCAGTGGATGGTTTTAGGAGTGACTATGGCTCGAAGCTGACCTTCTGGTGATGTACTCGCCACAAACTTAGTTAGCCAGGTCCTCGGGCCACAGACATAGACGTCACAAGGCCTTGTGATGTACCAGAGCTCAGGCTCTGTTGTCTTTAAGAATTTAGTTATCGCCACAACTCACCATGAGGAAGTATCAAAGTAGAACTCCTCTGCCATAATATGGGGATGTATGTATAGAGACAGGTAGGAAACATGGCAGACAGGGAAATAATTGTTATCCTTGGAGTCAAAATATGTTTCCAGTTCCAGCCCCATTCTTGACTAGCCAGTTAGCCTCTGAACATCAGCTCCTAGAAAATAAGGACGAAACCATTCACCCCTACCTACCTCTCAGGAACACTGACTGTAAAGCAATGAGACGGTCCCCTGTGGCAGGTGCCTCTGGTCACTTAGCCTGGATTCTGGCTTTGTTCGGCCTCAGTGACTACTTTCACCTCTCCTTTTCAGAGCTATCGAGCCAAGCTGACCCCGGGCTGTGAAGCAGAAGCAGAGACAGAAGCGATGTGTGCCTTTGTCCAGCAGTTCACAGACGCTGAGTACAACAAGGTAATTTCTCTCAGCCCCCTCCCCCGATCCCCACCACCACCTTCCTTCTGGTCCTCTCTGCCATGAAGTCATCCTTCCTTACCTCCTTTCTTCTCTTCCTCCCCTCCCCTCCCTCCTTCCCTTTCTCCCTTCACTTCCTCCTTACTTCCCTCTCTTCCTTCCTCCCTCCCTCTGTCCATCCTTCTGTGCCTCCCTTCCTTTCTCCCTCCCTTCTTCCTTCTATCCATCTCTCTCTCCATCCCTCTCTCCCTCCTTTCTTTTCTCTTTCTCTTCATTCCCCTCTCCCTCCCTCTTCATTCGCCCAGTACCCACTCTACAAGGGGCTTTCCAGTCTTATTTCCCACTTTTTCCTAAGATGTATCCTTGGGTTTCAGCCAAACTGGATTCATCCCTCCTCCCTAAATTGTACTTCTTTGCTTATACTATGGGGGACTGGTAGTGAAAAAGCTGGCCTTGAAGCCAGGAAGACCTGGGTTCATGATCCACACCCTCCCTACGACGCTGGACAAAATACCTCTCGGTGCTCTAGACAACTTTGAGACAGAGTCACAAAGAAGGTGCCAACCTGCACTGATAGAGAGAATTTCCTCATCAGGGAGTTCCCTGTGCTAAAGAAATCATGGGTCCAGGCTGTCTCCCCTCATTTATCCTATTCTTTCCACCCAGAATCTCCTCCCACTTCCATCTCTGCCTCCTGAAAGTTGGCCTGTTTGAAAGCAGGGATTAAGTCTTGTTCATTATTGTATCCTGCCACAGCCCCCACCTCAGTGGGTTAAAAGGGGCTTAAATAATATGCCCATCCCGCTGATCTTAATTTACAATTCCTCTGACATTCAGAGGGAAAGCCAAGCTTGAGCATCCACAGACCTGGGTTCTGGTCCAGGCTTGACCATTACTGCCCAGTGTGACTTTAAGAAAGTCAGTTTTCCTTCTTGGGTTTCCTCCTTTTCTTAAATGAGAAGGTTGGACTAAATGATCCCCACGGTCCCTTCCAGTTGTGCTATTTCCTGCTGACTTTTAAGTTTATAAGGAAAAAAAGTATGTCCATGTTAGCAGAGCTTCAGACAAGGGAAAGAATGATCAGACTTCCAATAGTGTGGGTCCTGGAGTTTGCTAACCCTATTCCCTTCTCCCTGGCCTCCCTTCCCCCTGCAGGTACTGGAGGTGCTCCTGCCCCTGAAGGATCTAGAAGCCCGGGTCTCCGCCACAGTGGACCTGATAACCCAGAACCACAGGCATATCAGCCGTGCAGAGCTCAGCTTCGCTGCGTTTTCCTTCTACCACAAGCTGAGAGCTGTGGAGCAATATATACCCAAAATCAAGTATCATGGCAACGTGACCCTGTTAAGGGCCAAAACCAGCAACACATATGGCGAGGGTCTGGGCAAGGACTACAACCTGTCTGAGGTAAGGCCTTCTGTATGCTCTTCAGGACCACACTCTCCCAAATCCTGCCCCGAGGATCCCCCTGCACCAGAAGCATATGTGGCATATCCTTCACCTGGGGGAAATTGAACTGAACTCTCCCCAGTTCCTACATGGGCTCTTCTTCAGGTCTCTCAGCCTGACCCAGGACCAAAACACTGAGGCTTACTCCCTCATTTGCCCACAGTGATACTACTACTAGAATCCTATGAGACAGTGGTTTTGATAAAATTTCCCTCCTAAAAGCTTTCAGCAATATGATATGGAAAGACCACTGGCCTGAGAGCTAAGAGACCTGAGTTCTAATCCCAAGGCCATATGTCCCTAGACATGTCTCCTCACCTCTCTGAGGGGTCAGACTAGATGACTTTGAAGGTCCCTCCTAGCTCTCAGCATCCTCTGGCTTCTCAGGAGAAACCTCATTTCCCTTTTCCATTCTGCAGTGAGCAAGGAGGTTACAAGGAACCTGTCTCGTTGGAGGTGGTGGGGTGCTGGGGTGCTGAAGGCTTAACCAACTCGTTGGCTTTTTCTTCTAGGTCTGTGATGGGAAGGTGTCTGTCCATGTCATTGAAGGTGATCACCGTACATTGTTGGAGGGCGACGGCCTGGAGTCCATCATTGGCATCATCCACAGTTCGCTAGCAGAGCCTCGAGTCAGCGTACGAGAGGGCTAGCTCTTCCCCATCCCTTGGTTCCTTCCCACAGCCATGGCTACATCTCCTGTCACTGGCAGGAGACAGAATTACGATGACTTTTCTTGTCATTAAGACATTCCCTCCCATACCTCCTCTTCCCCCAGCTCACACCACTCTCCACCTCCCACCCTAAGGAGATACCCCATTAATACAATTCTGCATCTAAGCCGGGTCTGAAGGAGAGTCCTCCTGGTGGTACCCCTTCCTATTGCCCTCCCCCTTTGTCTGTTCCAGTTGGTACCCAGGCCATCCTCCTCTGGCACTTTTGGAACACACATGTGCGCGCACACACTTATCCCTCACCCCTTCCCCTGCCCACAGTCTCCCAGGTAGGAGTAAAATTTGTTCAAGGTCATTATTGTCTGTGATCATCCCTTACCATGTTTCTCATGCAAAAACTAAAGGCCATTTGCACCTAGCCAGGCACCGAGACCAGGATGCCAGGGTCCAGGCTGATTTGGAGATTTCTGTTTTTGATCTGTGAAGAATCAGCCAGTGGCCAGCAAGATGGATGGGGCTGAACCTTTTTCATAACCATGTGGTGTTTTTTGTTGTGTTTTCATTTTTCATTTGAAACTTTGTATTTATTGCATCATCAGCAAAAAAGGTTCCAGAGTATTCCTCTACCATTTGTGAAAAGACTAGAAGAAATGCCCCTTGGCAGATTTTTTTTTTTAATCCAGAGTTCTCTGGTTGTTCCTTTCCGTGTTTTATTTTGTCTGGAACACCTTTGTTTTGCTTTTACCGTAGTTATCCATCTCAGCCTGATAGTGAAGAAGTGAAGCTTCCCGTTCTCCCTTCTCTCATCTGCAGGAAGGGGAGAGAGTAGTGGGGTGGGAGTGTGGCCTGTCCCCCCTGTTCCTCCTGCCCTCTCCTGAAGCAGCTTGAAGGAACAGAGAAAAAAAGGGGTTGGGGGGAGAACCCCACCAAAGGAATGGTCAGCCTGGAATGATTTCAGGAGCAAAGGAGTGAGCTTCACTGGAAGGCCAGCCACAATGGAAGAGCCCGTGTAAGGACTTGATTCCAAAAAGAGGAGGAAAAGAGACATTTTATCCCCCCTGGGACCTAGCAAGAGTCTCCCTGCCACCATGTGCTGGTGTGCTATATGGGCCTTTAGGGCAATGGACAAGTGATTCCCAGCTGCATTTATGATACAGAGGCTATTGGGACAGGAGCCAGGATCTTACCACCTCCCCCACAGGGACCCCCTTCGTATTTCTTCTGTCAAGTCATTGAGCTGGCAGGGGGGGCCTCCTTGGAGGCTGGTTCTGAGCCGGTACCTGGCTGCTAGCACCACCCCTCTGTGGATCGTGGCTGGGGCACTGTTTGTTTTTGTTTGTTTCTGTTTTTTGTCTTTTGTTGTTGTTTTTTTAAGGCGACACATTTAATTCAAACTGCTGCTTGAATTTTGAAAATTTCAATGTAATTGTCAATGTAAAGAATCATGTCTGGATCCTGTTTCATTCTTACACCCACTTGGTGAAAGTGTTACTCTTGAGATTGTCCTGCTCCCCACCCCATAGTCCTCCTGATATTAAACCACATGGGATCTCTGGCTTGACTCCTGTCTGTTTTCTCTCCATTCCTCTGTGATGCTCTGCCTGGGAACCTGTAGGCAGGATGCAGCATTAGCAGTGGTTTCCTCTCTGATTCCCTGGCCTGGAAGAAAGAGGGTGGGTAAATCAAGTTATATAAAGGATAAATAATTTTTAAAATATTATAAGGTATCAGGATTTCTCTAATAGGTGGAATTTTAGCTGAAACTTAAGGGAAGCCAGAAGGTGGAAATGAGAGAGTATTCCAGACATGGGGAGAGTCAGTGAAAATGCCTGGAGCTAAGAGATGGTGTCTTGCTCTAGGAACTACATGGAGGACCATTATTGTATTGCAGAACATATTGGAGAGAGGAGAAAGAGAGGATATGAAGGGCTTTGAATATTAAAAAGGATTTTGTGTTTGATCCTATATCCTAGGGAGCTGCTGGAATTTTAATATTAAGTAAGGAGGTGATAAGGTCAGACCAGCACTTTAGGAAAATCACTGGTAACTGAATGGAGTATGGATCGGAGTAGGGAGAAACTTGAGGCAGTCAGACTTGCCACCAGACTGCTGCAATAGTCCAAGTGTAAGAAGAAGAAGACCTATACCAGAGTGGTGGCAGCATCAGGAGAGAAGAGAGCATATTCAAAAGAAAAAGGTGAAATCGACAGGCCTTGCTTGGCAACAGATTTCTCATCCCTCTGTGTCCAATCAGTGATGACATGGGAAAGTGGGAGGTTGATGGTACCTTCAACAGTAATGGGGAAGTTTGGAAGAGGACAGATTTTAGGGGAAAAGATGAGTTCAGTTTTGGATAGGTTGAGTTTTTAAGTGTCTATTGCACATCCAGTTCAAGATGTCTGAAAGGCAGTTGGAGGTGTGAGACTGGTGGTCAGCAAAAGGGTTAAGACTGGATAAGCAGATTTGAGAATCATCAGCATAAATATGATAATTAAATCTATGGGAGCTGATGAGGTCACCAAAAGGAGTACTGAGAGAGAAAAGAAGGGAGCCCATGGGACATCCCACCCACCTTTAGGGGGTGTCACCTGGATAGATTCTAGCAAGGAGTGGTAACATAGGAGAACAAGGAATGAAGGGGGTCTCAAAAACCTGGGAGGAGAGAGTATCAAGGAGAAGGTGATCAACAGTGTCAAAAGGCTGAAGAGATACAGGATTCCCATACCAAAACCTACTCTTCTTCTATACCATGACCTCCAATTCTTTGACCCTTTGGTTCTTTCCTAGATCATCACTCCTACACTAGACAAGCTTTCTTCCTTTCCTCATCTTAGCCTGCAAGAAAAATGAGGATAGAGAGAAGGTCAGTTTTGCTATCAAGAGATCATTAGTAACCAGACACAGCAGTTTTAGTTGAATTTAGTTCAGAAGCCAAACTGTAGAGAGGAGGAGAAGTAGAGGCACCTATTGTAGATGGCTTTCTCAAGGAATTTAATTACAAAAAGCTGAGGAGATGTGGGACAACAATAGGGATGGAGGGATCAAGTCATTTTTTGAGGGTAGGGGAGACGTAGGCATATTTGTAGGTGGTACAGAAGGAGCCACTAGACAGAGTTAGAAGATAAGTGAGAATGATGGGGAAATCTTCTGAAGGAGACAAAATGAAATGGGATTGCTTGTACAAATAGAGGAGTTTGCCTTGGCAAAGACTAGGGAAATCTCTTCAAATGAGATAGGTGAAGGAGGAAATGGTGACAGAAGACATCAGAAATTGATGTAAGATGAGGGAGCCCATAGTAAATGGCCTCAATTTTTTCAGGAAAATATGAGGCAAGATTCTCAGCTGAGAGGGTGGAGAGAGGAGAGACATAGAAGGTTTGGAAGGGCCTCTCTGGAATGGGATAATGAGTTGAAAAGAGAAATGTAGGATTTCCTAGCTGGGAATTGAGGGCCTAATTGAGATTATGTAACAGATTTGTAGTGGGCCCAATCAGCAGCTGGGTGATGTTCTCCATTTTTGTTCAGCAGTATATGTGTAGTAGCAAAGGCAACAAATGGTGGAAGTGATCCGAGGCTGAGGTTCATCAGGGCACAACTGGCAATATAAAGGGGGCAGGGACTCAACAGGATAGTGTAGAGTTGAGCTGGTTTACTAGGGATCAAAATGGTGAAAGGAGAGTGTGTGGCTAGTGTGAGGGTGGTGGACTGGGAGAGGACTGAGGGGTCAAGAAATTGTAAGTCACAGTGGGATTTTGGGATGGGAAAGCAGAGAGAAAAGTAGAAAGCCAATAGATTGTGATCATATAAGGGAATTTTAGAGTTCTTGAACATGGAGGTGGTACATTAGTAGGTGTGGAAAGATCAAGAGTATGTATGACCATCTTTATATGTTGCTGAGGTCATGGTAAGTGAGTAGGTTGAGGAACTAGGAGGTAAGAGTATTTGTGGGAGTATCAGTAAGTATGATGAAGTCCCCTAATGTGAGGGTGGGAGTTGGAGAGGAAAGGTTGTGAACCAGGTGCTGAACTGGTGAGGAAGAAAGGGGAGGGTCCTGAGGGTCTGTAAACAACCAGCCTAATTTTGATTAGGTGAAAGATGTGGATTGTATGGCCCTCGAACAGAGTGCTGGTGATGGTGAGGGGGGAGAAGTGGCAATGAGGAGCAAGAAATATTCCAACTCCCCCACTTTTACCAGTGAGCTGAAGAGAATGACTGAAAATGCAGCCAGTACTGGAAAGAATGGTCAGGGAGGCTGTGGTTATGTGGTTTTTAGGGGTAACTAGATCTCAGTTATAGGCATAAGATGGAAGGAGTAGGAAAGAAAAAGACTTAAGATGAAAACAAATTTGTTGCCTGTGGAGCAGGCATTCCAGAGAGCACAGTGAAAGGGGCAGGTAGTATTTGGTTAGAACTTTGGGTAAGGTGGGTTGAGAGGGATGTGAATAAGGAATTGAGTAATGGAGGATGGGCAGTGGAGTTTGGGTGATGACCTACAGGAGTTCAGAATCACTGGAATGTGTAGGATATGACCAAGTATGAGTATGCTAAACATTAAGTGAGGGATTCCTCACCTCTTCCCAGCAAGAGACTGGAGATCAGAGAAAAGACATGGGCAGCACAGAATGGAAGACCCATTGTTAGATGGAAGGCTCCCATTTCTCCACTCCTTCCTTCTGGAAGCTGGAAATCAGGTAGGGGATGGTGCAGTAGAAGATGAAAGACATACTGCAGATATGCAGCAGGGGATGGAAGTTAGTTTCCCACATGGTAGGAGATAGAAGTCTGGACCCAGATGGTAGGAAGTTGTACCTGGCCAATTATCCTCAACATTTCTCTCAGGAGGCTGGCACAGTAGATGGAAGTCACTTTCCTCCAGAGGCTGGCACAGAATGAGATGGAAGCCAAGTTCAGAAGAGGGAAATGACCTGAAGCCTAGTCAATTCTGAGAGTGATGAAGATGGGCTTCCCACCAACTGCGAAGCTCCCAAGGGGGATCAAAGATTGTCAGGATCAAATAATGTAGTGGAGACTTGGAGAGCTAGAACCCTTCAGGAACGTGGTCTCATTGAACACAAAGAAGGAAGCAGTGCAGTGACAGAGGCCTACTCTCATGAATACTCCATTCACCCAACAAACATTTCTTAAGCAGCTACTGTATGAAACACTACTGGGAACATGAGAAATACAGAGAAAAAATAATCAAAAGACAGCCCTCCCCTTTGAGTTTTTACCTTAGATGAGGAGATAAAGTCCATTGGGTCCAATGAGACGACAATTACAAAGCAAGATAGAAACAAATGTTTAAGAATATTATAGCGAACACCACATACCTGAATCCAGGTCCCAAGGCTGTGCTACTACCTACCTGTGTCTCTGAACAAGTCACCTCACCTCTCTGAGAGTGTTAAGCTAGACAACTAAGAAAGTTGTTTCCTAATTCTCAGCATTCTATGACTTCTTAGAAGAAACCAAGAAACCAAACAATCTTTCCTTCTTTCTCTCCCTTCCCCTTGTTCATAAAGGGGCATAGAATAAAAATATCATCAGGGCAGAACAGGGTTAGTTAGGTGAGACTTCTCTGAGGAGGTAAGCATTGAGTTCTTGAAAGCTTGAGTTCAACCACTTAGTTCTTGAGAACCAACAGAAAGGAGATGGGATTCTATCTTAGGTGCAGGCTATAGCATGGACAAAGGTGTAAGAGCATCAGGAAATGAGATGAAATCACCTGACTAGTAGAATAACCATTTTGGGTGGTCATAAGTGAAAAATGGAGTCAGAAGGGTGCTGAAGGGACCATTTTTGTATTTTTGAGAATGAACACCAGATAATACAAACTGGCCAAGTGGCTGGGGCACTGATGGGAGTTGCAGGAGGTGGGACAAGAGGGAAGCTGAATGAGAGGTCTACAAGTGACTCATCCTATACCTCAGTGTCCATCCCTTCCTATTGCCATAGATTCCAAGGAAGGAGTTTGCATATTTTCCCTCCCATTGTAGTATTTTGGAAACCTGAGGAAGGAAGGGGGAATAGTGTCCAAGATGTTAAGAACAGGCTTACCCTGTGCAAATCTCCTTCCCTGTCCATAGTCTTATCTGGAACTCCCCCTGGAACTTATGGAGGAAGGTACATAGCCCTGACCCATCAAGTATGGAACTCCACAGCACAAACCTGTTTCACAGGGTTGTTGCATCATAAGCTTTTGTAAAACATGAAAAAAATAGTATGTAGAAGTGAATTATATAAGGCAGCATGACATCATTTACCACATTCATTTTCTGACTTGAAATTTATACAGTAATAATATTTACATAGCTCTTTCAAGTGTGCAAAGCATTTAACATCTCATCTGATCTTACAGTGTCATGAGATCGATAGTATCATCTCCATTTATTGATGAGGAAACTGAGTCAGTCACTTTTCCATAGTCAGTAGCTAATAAGTATCAGATCTAGGATTTAAACTCAGCTCTTCCTGACTCCAAGTCCAATATTCCACCCACTATACTACATTGCCTCTCTATAAAGCATTAATATAACCTGTCACTCACCGCATCTT